GGGGACAGGAGGTGCAGGGGCCTTGAGGAAGAATCAAGTCCGTTCGCTGGAGAAACAGTGGGGAGGCCGTGCGGCTGCAGCACACTGAGCAGGAGGGAGGTGGTAGGAGGGGTCAGATCATACAAGGTCCTTTAAGTCATGGCAAGGAGGTTGGATTTTACTTGGAGGAGTAGCAGGGTCTTAAGAGGGGCTGTGCCATGATCTGATTTAAAAGGGTCATTCTATGGAACATAGTATGGAGGTTCCTTAAAAAGTTAAAAGTAGCAATTCCACTCTTGAGTATTAGTCTGAAGATGAAAGCACTGTGCCAAAAAGATACCTGCACCTCACGTTCCTTGCAGCATTATTTCCAGGACATGGAAGCCCCCAAGTGTCCCCTGATGGCGAATGGGAAAGAACAAGCGATATATACACAGTGGAATGTCACTCAGCCATCATCTGTGACAACATGGACGGACCTTGAGAGCATTCTGCCAAGTGAAGTAAATATGATCTCACTTATATGCAGAATCTTAACCCCGCCCCTCCCCCCCCCACAAAACAAAGTCATAGAAACACATTTGTGGTTGCCAGAGGTGGGGAGGGGGCGTGTGGGTGAAGGAGGTGAGAGGCACAGACTTCCAGTTGGGAGGTAAGTCAGTCCCGGTGTCATGCACAGCATAGGCAGTGATGGCGGACCTCTGACACGCGAACTCATTTTTTTGGTTGATTTTTCTTTGTTAAATGGCATTAAATATATAAAATAAATATCAAAAATATAAGTCTTTGTTTTACTATGGTTGCAAATATAAAAAAATTTCTATATGTGACACGGCACCAGAGTTAAGTTAGGGTTTTTCAAAATGCTGACACGCCGAGCTCAAAAGGTTCGCCATCACTGGCCTAGGGACTAGTTAACAATATGGTATCGCATATTTGAAAGTTGCTAGGAGAGTAGGTCCTAAAAGCTCTCTTCAGAAGAAAAACCATGTGTAGCCATGCGTGTTAATTATGCTTGTTGTGGCAATCACTTCACAGTATATAAATGCATCAACTCTTATGTTGCACACCTAAAACTAACATGTCAACTGTGTCATAAACAAACAAATAAGTGATTAGATAAAATAAAGGGTCGCTCTGACCACTGTGTGGAGAATAAGCTGTAGGGACAAGATTGGAAATGTGAACAGAATATGCCTGGCAGAGGGGCATTCTGGGGGGTAAGATGGCAGTCAAAGGCCTTGAGTTGGGAATGAACGTCGTTTTGGGGAACAGGACGATCTCAGGGTGGCAGGAACCGAGCGTGCTTGGAGGAAGATGCATCTGCAGATACAATTTGGCCCTGGGTTTTGAAGAAATGGACATTCCGACGTGTTTGGACTTCGTCATGGAGAAAAGATTCTGGGAAGTTGTGTGATCAGGGGATTGATGGGAAGGAGCGGTAGGTCAGTGTCTAACCGGGCATTTCAGACAGAAGTGATTTGATGCAGGAAAAGCCGAGAAAGCACCGAGGGCGGTGTGGCAGCGCCAGGTGATCGGCAGCAGGAGGCGGCTGGGTGGTGCTGGTGCTGCCGGAACCGGAAGCTGGGCCGTCCAGGAGGAAGCGGTACCTGGTGGCAGCTGTCCAGCCGGGCTCACGCCACAGGGGAGCTGCTGAGCTGCCAGTCACTGTCCCCCCAGGAGCCCGCCCTGTGCCCCCTCGCCCCCCCCAATGCCTCCCGCTGGCCAGACTGGGCAGGAAGTCTGTGGCCAGGGCTGCGGGGCGCCCTGTCCAGGAGAAGGCAGGGTGATCGTGGTAAGGAGGACAGGGCCGCCTGCAGGGAGTGAGCTGTTGGGGAGATTGCACGGGCACCTGCACCAAGGAAGGGCAGGCCACTGCAATTCCCACAGGGTTCCGAGGCATGAGAATGTGAACTTGGCAAAGGCCGTCGAGAGGGAGCGGAGGGTGGGCTTACGGACCATGCCTGGGTCTAGGCGGCCACTTGAATGTAGGGAGTGAGAGAAGGAGGAGGGAGCAGGGGAGGTCGTTGGGGGCTTCTAGTTTGGGCAGCTGTGCAGGGAGGAGGGGGAGCGATAGTAAAGAGCGCCACCCCAACGTCCTGACTGTGAGGTCCCTGCAGGTCACCTAGGAGACCGTGTCCCCACGGAGCTCCCTTTCATCGCTGCTTAAAGATGATGGGTGATAATGGGCAGTGCTCATGGATGTTTACTACGGGCAGGCGGGGCTCTAACCACTTTATTCCTAATAAGGAATTTGACCTCCCCTGTGAGGTAGGTGACCTTGTTACCCCATTGGATGATGGGAAACGGAGGCACTGAAAGGCGACGCTGCCTACACTCAAGTAGCTGTAGCTGGGAGGCCGAGCCAGGCGGCCTTGCTCACCTGCCCCACCTCCTGGTGCTGTCGCAAGGATGAACTGAGGTCATATAACAGAGTCTGAATAAAGCAATTGCATTTTGGTTTAATATTGTCAGAAATATGTTAACTTTGGTGAAAAAGTTTGGCCCCCATGACCTTTACTATAACATCAACCTGTTCCTGCAAGAGGGAGACGTGAGGGCTGAAATGATGAGTGTTTGAAATTGATAGACTAGAATTCAAATGTAGTCTCTTACCTCGACACATCAGTGACCTGGAGCAAAGAACTGCGGCTCTCTGAGCCCTGGTTTATCACCTGTGAAATGGGTCCAGTGGCACCTCCCCTGCATTGTGCATCGTAGGTGGTCGGTAGCTGAAGATCTCCTTTCCCGGCGAGTTTCTTGACCCAATAAAACGAGAGGAATGTGGGCTCTCACCCCGGCTCACTATGGCCTTGTCTTTGGTGAGTGCTTTCCACTCTCGACCTTCATGGCTCCTCGGCAAGGGAGCAGTGAGAGACTCCAGGGCCCCCACTCCCAAAGCTCAGCCACCCCAGCTGTCAGAGGGAGCCGTGCCACCACCTCTATGCAGGCGATGTGGGGGCTGGTGGAGAATGTGGTCTGTATGAGCAGCATTTTGTCCGTGGAGGTCATGGTTTTAACCACCCAAGGACATTCTGAGGCTCCTCAAGTGGAAGGAAGAAGGTTTGGGGGCAGACTCAGCACTGGGATAGTGTCTGTATGAATTTTTAGCATCTCAGAGGGGCAATTCTATATAATAAAAGGCTAATATGCAAATCTATGGAACAGTGGAATGACCAGTCGGTATGATGCACACTGACCACCAGGTGGCAGATGCTCAACACAGGAGCTGCCCCCTGGTGGTCAGTGGGCTCCCACAGCAGGGGTGCCGCTCAGCCAGAAGCTGGGCTCACGACTGCCAAGTGCAGTGGTGGTGGCGGGAGCCTCTCCCACCTCCACAGCAGTGCTGAGGAAGTTTGATTGACGGACATTCCCCGAGGGCTCCTGGACTGCGAGAGGGCACAAGCCTGGCTGAGGCACCCACTATCCTCCCCGCCCCCCCGCCCCGCCAAGTGCATGAATTTCATGCACCAGGCCTCTAGTCTATTCATAAAAAATCATGTTATTACTCTACAGTTGGGTGAGGGTAAATGGGTCGAGTTCCTCTTACATCCATTTCTTTCCTGGTCAAAAAATTACTGAGTACCACCCTGGCCGGGTGGTTCAGTTGGTTGGAGCTTCGTCCCATACACAAAAAAGGTTGCAGGTTTCATCTCCGATTGGGGCACCTATAGGAAGCAACTGTTCGAAGTTGCTCTCTCCCTTCCTCTCTCTCTTGAAATCAATAAACTTATCCTCAGGTGAGGATAAAAAATTACCAGGCACCAATTATGTGCCATGTGCAGCGAAAGGTGCTAGAAACAGCAAACTGAAGTCCTCCTAGAGCTCACACTCCAGCTCTGGTGGCAATTAACACACACACAGGACAGCTGAACATGATAAATTTTACATGGAAAATAAGAGACAGGTCAAGTGTGCTTGAGGGAGTGGGTGGGAAGGACTCTGAGAAGATAATGTCTGAGATGAGACCTGACATGTGAGGAGAGTCGGCAGGAAGTCAGGGGAAGGGCATTCCAAGCAGAGGGAACAGTAGTGCAGAAGCCTCAAAGCAGATGCGCTGGGAGCTGACCCATGAGAAGGAGCGAGGAGTGGCAGGAGCACGGGGGTCTGGAGGCAGAGTTTGCCTGTCTTCCAGGTGCACAGAGGCTGCTGGGAGCTCGGGCCTGGGAGGCGGTGGCCCAGGCCTGGTTCACGTTTCACGGGTGAAAGCTCGGAAGCAATGTTCTCTGCCGACTTAGGAGAATTAACTAGTCAGTGTGGCACGGCACTCGGGAGTCTTGGAGGGCCCGGGACATCTGGTTATTATTTCCCCATTGAGGCTTTGTAAATGGAGGTCGGGGACCCGGGGTTCTTGCTCACGGAGGCGGAGAGAGAACGAGGCCGCCGTCCCTGCTCCACAGCCCTGTGCTGCTGCCCCGCCGGGAAATCCGACTTCCGTTGCTATGAGGCCGGAGAGGGACTTGGGAGCAGGGCCAGATCTGACTGTGTAATTAATTTCAAGGAAAGTCATTTGCCTTCACTCTTATGAAAAGATGAAAAGATAGTGCTGTGCAGGCAACACCTGTCTCTAGAGACCCTCTCACCTTGACAGTGAGCTCCATCCTCTCACCTGCTACGAGATAGGGAGGAAGCCTGCTCCCTTCCCATTTTTGTTTTTCAAACACGTAAGGAGCCAGGTGCCCGCAAGTGGGGAAGCCGCTGTCAGCGCCGCGCTGCTCTGTCCCGGACCCTCCCGCCGTGCCCTCTCTTCTGAGCGTAGATGGTGCTGAGGGCGTCCATCCTGCCAGCTGCCCCCCAGCAGCAGCCACGGCGGCCGGGCTCCTGTGCTTCTGGGCAGCCTGGCTCCTGCGCCTTGACTGAAGGTTGCAGAGGTCGGGGCTGGTACCGCGCGGTTACAGGCGGGCACTGAGCTGCAGGGGCAGAGGTGCGGTGCTTGGAAGTGGAGGGCTGGGACTGGACGGGGCAATCTCACGCCAGGCGCCCCGCGATGTCACCGCCTCCTCCGAATCCAGACCCTAAGCATGAGCAGGTGCCGGCACAGTCTCTGCCCGGCCCGGCCCCGGGGCTGCTGTGTGTTTCTTTCTTTTGGGCGGCGAGGCCGGTTTTGTTTGTGTGAGTGTGAAACCGTGGGATGGGGGTGGGCGGGCGCCTCTGCTAAGCCTCATGCCACCTAGCTGCGTCTCGTGCCAGGCACAGTGCCCGCTGACTTATGGCCCTGAGGGTGACACAGCTTGAGAAACTCACTGTCACTGCAGAAGCCAGACAGAGGGAAACCGGGTGCTGGAGTCATCAGTCAGAGAGGCCGCTCGGCCGGCAGGTGCCCTGTTAGAACCAGCACGCGGGCGACGTGCCCAGCCAGAACCAGCACACAGGCAACATGCCAGCCAGAACCAGCACGCGGGCGACGTGCCCAGCCAGAACCAGCATGCGGGTGACGTGCCCAGCCAGAACCAGCACGGGGGCGACGTGCCACACAGGCAACATGCCAGCCAGAACCAGCACGCGGGCGACGTGCCCAGCCAGAACCAGCATGCGGGCAATGGTAACGGGCTCTGCTTCTGGCCCTGTCTTGTGTGCGGGTCTGCGGGGTGGACGCTGCTGCTTGGCCGTTTTCCTGGAAGAACAGGTGAGGTGCAGGGGTGGCTCCGGTTGGTGCCTGTTAGCGGTGGGTCCTGCAGAACTCCTGCACCCTGCAGTGCCCGTGACTCTGCGCAACGACCTGCCAGCCTTGCATGCAGCCAGGCGCCTCTTCTGTGTCCCAGGGCGCGTCACCTGCACCCGCAGCCTCCTGCCGGACCACACCCAGACCTCACACCACGCCCGGTTGGAACTCATCCTCACCCCAATATTGTGGAGGATATTCGGACCATGGGGCTTCGAATTAGAAGGTCCCCATTCCACATGTGCTAAGACGAGCCCATGTAACCTGCACCCAGAGAGGCTGAGAGCGGAACCCGCACAGCCCAGACGTGTGCAGCACCGGGTTCCTTCCGCGGTGCTGGGTAAGGTGTGCCGTGTGTCTTGTTCAGCGAAGGTGGAGGAGGGCCTTCTGGAAGGCAGAGGTGTGCGTAGATGAGGTGCAGGGAGGCCCAGAGGGTAAGTGCGAGGACATAGATGGTGGAGCAGACCAGCGGGCTTGAGTCCTGGCTCCACTGGTCGCCGCTGTGTGGCCTTGGACGTGTCACCTAACCCCTCTGTGCTTTTTTTCACCAGCTGGCAGATGGAGATTAGTGGCGGCATCTGCTCTCGGGTTGTCATGACGATGAGATCGTTAGCGGTACAACTGTCTGGTGTCGGTGCTCACTGAATTTTAGCCAAAAAAGAAGACCAGTAGTGAGGAATCGGGATCTTATTCTCCAGCTGGAAAGATGGAGAGAATTGGGACAGGGCTGCTGGGTGGTGAGGGGAGAGGGCTCCGTGAGGCCCGCAGCTGGGGGCCGGTAGCTCTCAGAGTCTTGTGGCTGCCCCGGCAGGTCACACTGATACGAAGGAAAGCCTGCGATAGTGGGAGATGAAGTGTGTCAGGCTAAGTGTGTGTGAAGAGTGCTCAGTGCACACAGATGTGGTACGATCAGTGTCTGTCTCTTCGAGGTGGCGTAAGGCACCCAGGATGGGGCTGGTCCAAGGAAAGTCCAGTGAACACGAGTGTGTTGCCGGTAGCTGTAAGGTCAGGTTTAAAAGCAAAAGCGAAACCCACGTCACCTAGCAAAGCTGGGGACGAAGGGAATGTGGACGCGGCCACCACCGGAGTCGAGGTTGGACGCGGTGAGCCAGGTGCGGTCCGAGCTCCGCCGACCAACCCTCGTAAGGACCCAAGGAGGGCCTCCTGTGTCCGTGGTGCCCAGGAGGAAACCCAGGCACAACGGCCCACAGTGGCCGGGCCGGGCCAGGGACTCGGCCGGGACGAGCCTGCCTCCGGAGCCCTGGCTTCGTAGAACCTGAAACCAGAGCTGCAGGCGGGATGCATGCGTCGTGGTCTGTTAGTCCGCCATGTGGGTGAGTGCATATAGTCTCCATCTTGGTCAGAGCCATGCATTATAAATAAACCATGTGTGGGCATGTGTGCGTGTATGCGTGTGTGTGTGTGCGTGTGTGTGTGTGTGTGTGTGTGTGTGTGTGTGGTCTTCATGAAGACTTGAGCGGAAAACCCCTCCAGCGTAGAGATGGGGTTGAGGTCTGGGCAGGTGAATTCTCCTCTCCCTGCAGTGGCGGGGCGTGGCCCAGGCCATCGCTCTGCACAGCCGCTCACAGACCCCCCAGATGTCTCAGGCACCTGTGCTCACACGGCCAGAGCTGGAGACATGCTTCCTTTGAGTCTTCGTTTTCAGTTGCTGGCACCACCACCCTTCTGTCACCGGGCATGAACCTGGACCCTCAGCTCTTCCCTCTCTCTCACTCCCCACCCCCCGGCCCAACCGGCCATCGAGCCATCGGGTGCGTCCGCACTGCCACCCCCTACACAGGCCCCACAGGCCCTTCAACAGCCACTCCCCACCGCTGACGCGCGGGCTTCTCATCCTGTTTGTCATGTCTCCTTTCCTTTTCTCTCTAGAAATTGTTTTTATTTCTATTACCTTTTGTGGAAACTTGGAAGACCCTCCCCTAGACAGTAGCTACCTTGAAGACTTTTAAAGAAATCCTTATATCTATTAAAATCAGTTATGGGACTGCGATTTCGGGGTTCTCCTGTGGGGAAGAGGAACGTTTTCATTGGGGCATTTCCCTGCTCCGGACTTTGTGGCTTTCACGCCACGGTGTTTTTAATGATTCCTAGAGCTCGGGGGAGACAGCCCGCCTGTGTCCGCACAAAGCCAGGCTTCGGGCGGCGGCCTCCCCCCGCTGAGCCGGCTTCAGCGGACAGCACGCCCTTCCCCGCTGTCCCCTGCTCTGGAGTTCGACCTCCGCGCGCTCTTGTTTTTCTGGCCGGGTCCCCAGGCGCTTTGTTCAGGATGGGCCTCTCATGTCTGAGGAACCTTCCTGGTGACATCTCCCCGATGCCCCCGACCGGTGCAGGAGTCTTTGCTCAGGACTCCGGGGCTGCGTCAACCATGTTCCCGTGTTGCCGACAAACGGTGTGGAGCGCAAGTCTGCAGCCAGCACGTTCCCCAGGGCCTCATGGGAAGGAGCCAGAAAACTTGCTCCAGTATTTCTCTGTGTGGATCCTACTTGCCTCAACCAAAGTCCGGTCTCCCTTTGAAACCGTTCTCTGTATTTGCATCCGAAGGTCTCTTCTGTTGTGTGAGTGTGTCTGCTCCTCAGGGGCCACTGCTCCTTTCTGCGCGCCCCCGGGCGTTGCCATGTAGTGGGGGAATGGAGCAAGCTTGTGGGGTTTAGCTTCCACTTCGCCGATTCCATCACCCTTGGCCCTAACTCTGCACACCTCCTCCAAGGGGGCCTCTGGCTGGTTGCTCTGCTTTTCATCTTCAGATGATCCTTTCTGACACCGAATTAACTTCTCAGCAGGACCCCCTGGCCCCACCCACAGGTTAAAAACACTTCTTGGATCTTCTGAGATCACAGATCAGATATTTTAACAATGCTTTTCTCCTTCCCATCCTTCCTCTCACCTTTCTCCTTTTCCTCTTTGTCTTCCTCCTCTTTCTTCTTATTCTCTTCCCTCTCCTCCTCCCCCTTCTTTTCCTCCCCCTTCTTTTCCTCCCCCTCTTTTCCTCCTCCTCCTCCTCCTCCTCTTCCCCCTCCTCCTCCTCCTTTTTCTTCTGGCTGTAGATTAATCCCCCCGGCTCTGTAGAGGAGTTCCCCTCCTCTGAACTGCATACTATTTGTGTATGCCTCGCACTGCCTCTCCTATTTGCCAGAGTTTATAGGAGGGACTTTCAGGTCCACACTTAAAGAGAAAAACGAGCCCTGGCAGGTTTGTGGTTAGAGCTGAAGGCTTGAAGTTAGAGCCTAAAGGTTGAGGTTTGATTCCAGATCAAGGGCATGTACCTGGGTTGCAGGTTGGATCCCCTGCCCCTGTCGGAGTGTGTGTGGGAGGAAAGCGCTTGATGTGTCTCTCTCATATCCATGTCTCTCTCTCTCCTATGTCTCTCTCTCTCTCCCTCTTCCCTCCCTTCCACTCTCTCTCTAAAGATCAATGGAAAAAGTATCCTCAATGAGGATTTTTAAAAAGAGAGAAAAGGGAAAGAAAACCAGAAGCCACCTGGCAATGACCAAGTTTAGGGATCTAGAAGCGTGTGTGTGTTTGGGGGGGGGGGCGTTAAGGGGGTAACGGAAGGAGCAGAATCCCTGGGAGCCTCCGCAAGGGGCTTTGTCACAGGGAACCCAGGAGTCCCTATGGCACAGCCGGGACCCTGACAGACAACGCATACAACACGTGTAAGGGAGGCAGAGGGCTCCCACCGATATGAAAGACCTCACTGACCAGCCATCTGCCAGGAGGGGGTTTTACTGGGCCAATCACCAGTCGAGAATTGGTTTGGCTTAGAAGTTCTGAGTGTGGGTTTTTTAAGTCACCCTCCCATCCCTGCCTCAATTAGGGAAGCTGCACTGCACGCTTAGTCTTCCTTTGAATTCTACTTGAGTTACACTCAGTTACACTGTTCTGGATGCTGGGGATGCCATGGGGAGGAAAATCATCATCAGAGTGATAAGAGCAGGCAGAGGGTAGTCACAGACAGAGTGTGTAACCGCGGGAGAGGGTAGTCAGGGGGTGCTTCCTGGAGGAAGTGGCATTTGAGCTGTGAGATGAAGGATGAATAAGGATGAAGCAGCCCAAAGTCGGTGCAGTCAGACGAGTATGCAGGCAGGTGTGGGGGGTGAGGGGGCGCGTGTGCAAAGCTCTGCGATGGGAGGAAGCCTGAACTACTGGAGGAATCTGAATAAAAACCTCCCGTGGTTAGAGTGTGGGCGAGAGAGGGTGGGCGATGGGGTGAGGGACCAGAACCAGCTGAGGTCAGAAGTGGTGGCTGGGTCATTGTTAAGGGCCCTGGCTTCATCCTAAGGGCAAGGGGAGGCCTGAAAGTGCTTTTCTGTCAGGGGGGCCTGGAGCGGGAGATGACACCATCAGTTCAGCTTCTGGAAAACGGCTCCGGAAGCAGAGACCTCCAGGTGGGAGCGGTAGAAGCAGGGTGGGAGGAGCGGGACTCAGGAGGATGGGCAGACTGAGGCGATCCCACTGCTGCAGGGCATGCTCCCCGTTCCCGGGCGTGCTCCCCGTTCCCGGGCGTGTTCCCCGTTCCTGGGCTTGCTCCCCGTTCCCGTGTGTGTTCCCCGTTCCCGGGCGTGTTCCCCGTTCCCGGGCGTGCTGTTTTTGCTTTTGTTTCCTGTGTGAACCCAGCTGCTGATGTAGGGGCTTTGTCCAAGTGTGGGGAACAGAACGGGGCCAATCAGTGACTTATTTGGGCTGACCTGCCCCTTCTCAGGGAGTGGGAGGACCGGGTAGAATCTATGGGGGTTGCGTTCACCAGGTTGGTCATCACCAGGAAAGCTTGTCTGGCAGGCCATGGCAGGGGCTACTGAGACCTCCAAAAGGGGACAGGAGCCCAGCCTCTCAACCTACTCATGCCTAGAGCCCACACCCCTCTGACTTAGGGGACATGGGCTGGGGGAGGTTCTAGAACAGCCGTGGGCAAACTACGGCCCGCGGGCCGGATCCGGCCATTTGAAATGAATAAAACTAAAAAAAAGACCGTACCCTTTTATGCAATGATGTTTACTTTGGATTTATTTTAGTTCACACAAACACTCCATCCATGCTTTTGTTCCGGCCCTCCGGTCCAGTTTAAGAACCCATTGTGGCCCTCGAGTCAAAAAGTTTGCCCACCCCTGTTCTAGAAAGTTCTCCCCATCACTTTCCAGCACACCACCTCTCCCAGCAGGGAGTCCTATATCAGACCTTAAAGAACTCAGTCCTGACCACGCTGCCTGGGCAGCAGCTCCTCGAAGCTCCTGGCGTGTCACTGCTCCCCATGTGTCTCTAGCAACTACGGGGAGTGGGGGCGTGGGAAAGCTGTGCCTCACGGAGAACTAGGAACATGAAAACATTTCTCTGGAAACATAGCCGTTCCTAAAAGGTTCCACTGCGCAGAACAAGACACGAGAGCGCCCTCAAGTGCTGCTTACCCATCTGCCTCATGGGGGAGGAAATGGTGTCTTGTTTAGATAGTAGGTCTCTCTGTGAGTGTGAGTGTGAGTGTGAACTGCATTTCCTCTTTCCTCCAGGTGATGAAGGGTGCCGGTGACGAAGGGTTCATTTAAACCGGCCTGGCCGCCCTGAGGGGAGTGGGGCCTTGGAGCCTGGCTGACTGTGCAGCGCTG